TGGGGAATTCTGGGAGTTGAAGTCCACACACCTTAAAGTTGCCAAGGTTGAGAAACACTGGATTAGAAGATTGCAGCCCCAAAAAGTTTTAGCAAGAATGATAGCTGTAACCCAACATCTGGATGGAAACCCAGGCTTCAGCCAGCATTTTTTTCCTCCAACAATACCATATAGTAATGGTCACATATGATAGTTCATCCTTCTAAAGATGAGAGCAGAGTGCAATTGGGAAGGATTCTGGTCATTACTGAATATGTAAATCACTTCAAAATTCTTTGCAGTGAGAAGTGGTGTAAAACACTTTAAATAAATAAATAATAGCTCCACTGTTTCACCCAGTGATGCAACATCACCTTTAATGCCTTTCCTTAGGTGACATATCTGACAACCAAGGGTCATAAGGCAACCCTGTTTCTTTTCAAAAGACTCATACGTTTGAATTTGCTTTAATTTGCTTAAGATCATCATGTTATTCTGCCAAACATTTTTCTTTCTCTTATTTCTCCTACAGGTAATATGGATCGACACCATTATGAGACCTTTGAGAAGTTTGGAAATAATACCTTTATTATCCACTTAGACAATGGAAGAGGGTAATTATGGCAGAGAATGGGTGGGGTCAGTTGATCATACCTAAATCTTTCCTGTCTATTCTTGCTCATTCTTCACCACTTCTTTTGTCTGAAAAGTGTGAATTGCCAGTATGAGACCTTACTAAAGTACTGGTTTTACTAACTCAGAGATAGGTGACCTATACAGGTAGTCCTCGTTTAGCGACTACAATTGGGACCAGCAACTCAGTCATTAAGTGAAGCAGTCACTAAGTGAAACCACAATTGTGCTTATGATCTCACTTCAACTTTCCTTTGCTTTACAGACCTGTGAAGGTCACAAATGAGAGCATTGGTCACAAAGTTACTTTTTCATCACCATCATAACTGCAAACAGTCGCTAAACGAGGCACTCGCTAAATAAGGACCACCTGTCGTTTTCCAGACATTATTAAACTACAACTCCCAGCATTCCTAGGAAGCATAGCCATTGATGCCTCCTCACTCATCCTTCTAGCACATCTTTGTAAGGTCTCTAGCAGAGATCTTTGCTGGCCCTAGGACCCAAACTTCATTGTAAGATTCCAATATATTAGAATTTTCAGAACATTATGTAAAGGTTCAGATAAACAACTGCAAGCCAATTTCTCTGTAGACTCAGGAAGTGCAAGCTATAGAAGAAGATATAGGCCTGTGCTGTGCTTTGGATCCAAAGCTGTAAAGGAGTTGTAAAAGAGGTGCAGGTATGCCTAGAGATCTATTGGCACTTCCTTGCAAAAGCTGTGTCTTTTCTTGAGCTCTAACAGTAATTGCACACTCCCAAGAAAAGACACATTTGTGTGAAGCTGACACCAACAACACCACAGCATCTGGTCCAAAGTATCTTGTCAGCGCCTCCTTCACTCTAACGTTTGTTTCCCTAGGAGAGAACTGAAGCTGCTACGAGAATCCAGGAAAAAAAAAGTGTTTTCTTTAAAGAGTTGTGGTGAGGCAGGATGCGTGCCCATGCTTCCTGCAAAACACCTTTTTGGCTACAGACCTGAAGTTCAGCATGTGCCTAAAATCATTGCATTAAAGAGGGCATTGAGTTTTTCCCCTCACCTCTGGCCAACAATTTGAGACAGAAAGCGTATTTCTGGTGAATGTTTCTTATGTTCTTCTTCCTTGTAGGTTCGGGAAATATTCTCACGATGAACTATCTATCTTGGTGCCTTTGAATCAATGTTGCCGGTATGTTTGGGGTATTTTTTTTTCCTTCTCCTTATGGGGATAATTTGGCGTGGATTCCAGAGGTTATAAATACATGTAGCCCTCGACCTACAACCATTCATTCAGTGATCGTTCGAAGTTACGATGACGCTGAATGAATGGCAGTTACGACCAATCCTCAGCGTTCTGGCTGTCCTAGCACCCCTGCAGTCATGAGATCGCAATCTGGGCACTTGGCAGCCAGTTCACAGTTACGATTGGTTACAGCTCCCCATGATCACATGATCCTCATTTGCAATCTTCCCTGCCAGCTTTCCCAGAAAGACAATGAGGAAGCTGGCAGAGAAGGTCACAAGTTGCTGGGGTAAATCTCCTCCACCCGCACACCCTCCCCCAGCCCCCGTGCAGTCACACCGTGCTGGCCACTTGCACACCGCTGCACACCCTCACACACCCTCCAGGACCCACGCTGCGCCTCTCACGCACTCCCTTGCACCCTCACACACCCTCCTCAACCCACACCATACCCTCATGCACCCTCCCTGACCCATGAGTCTCTGGGAAAGAAAGCTTGCCTAGGTGGTTTCACTTTCAGCAGGAGTGGGCAGAAGAGTACTAGTCAAAATCCATTCTGAAGTTCAGAGAGCAAAGTCAGATTTGTCAGCCAGTCCAAGATCAGAGTTTCACAAGCAGGATTCACAGGAGCAACACACCAGAGTAGGAGATCAGATGATTATTTCCAACAGAGAATCAAGGGTCAGGGCTGCCTCTTAAATCAGGCTGCAGCCAGCTGTCTTTAATCAAGAGAGTTACTGCCTTATTTGGCAAGGAGCCTCATTGAGCGTCTTTGCTCTGCTCTCCGCTCTACTTGCCGAGTCTGAGGGCTTGGAGACCATACGTCATCATCTGACTGCTCCAGCTGTTCCAATGGTGCCTGTGTTTGATCAGCCTCAGGTGATTCCTGGCTTGGTGTCTCCTGAGGCCAACATTCCACTGGTTCAGCTTGAGCAGCTTCTTCAGAGTCTGAGTCCTGGGCCATGACACTCGCACCCTCGTGCACCCTCCCCAACCCTTGCACCTCTCACGCACCATCCCCAACCCTCACCACATCTCCCCCACGCACTCCTGTGCACCCCCTTGCTCCCTTCCCACTCGGGAGCAGCCACTTACCTGCCAGCTGACCTGGGATTTAGGCCTTCTTGCCGGCTTCTCCACTGACTTTGGTTGTGGGAAGCTGGAAGGAAGTTGCCTCAACTAACGACTGTGGGATTCAGTTAACAACCGCAACTGGGATTTCAGGGATTGCTGTCACTAAGCGATGCGATTGTGCTTTACAGAACTAGGAAATTCTGGTCCCAATTGCCATCATAAGTCAAGGACTGCTTGTAGAAGCATCTGCGGGTGGGGCAGGAGGCAGATCCAGGAGGCAAATGACAGCATTGTACTGACTTGATCGAAGCTCCACACTTTTGAACATTGTTGTAATGCCACCCACATGTAAGAAAAGGGCAGATCTTGCAATGCAACGATACAACACTGCTTTTGTCATTCCGGATCGTACCGACACCCCGCGTTCTGTTTCCACGATGTCTGACTGGAGCCAGGATATTTTCAAGTGACAGTTCTGTCCTTCTATAGCTTGGTTGCTTCTGGAGAGAGATTTCATTTAGCTTCCAGGCCCTTGTGGAGAGGAGAATGAGAAAAGCTATGCTTTAGAGGGGCCCAGAGAATAAGAGGCTCAGCTTAGGCAGCAACTTCAAGCCAAATGGAGGCTAAATTGGAAACTGTGTTTGGAGATATGGATGGGAATTGATTTTTCCGCTCCAGGAGAAGGCCTTCCTCTAGGTGTTGTCCAACGTGCTAAACCACAAGCTGCTGTAATCTGGTGCATTGTGCAAAAGTATTTATGCTTCGTTTGGGGTGTTGTCTGAACTTTAGGTTAATTAAGTAAATCCTGAGGTAGTTAAGCATCTCAGGTAAAATTACTAGTGTTGTATCTGGGGCAGGAACCTCTGGAGGACAAAGCCAACTGTTTCTGAGAAGTCAGCAATCCTATCGGTCATGGGCACCTCTCCAAAAACCCCCAGAAACCTGATAAATTTTGGTAGCCAACAGCAGGAAAACTATATGGGTCTTCTCACCCTTTGGAGTGGAAAATAATGAACAGAGATGTGTGTACCTTATTTGAAGCAACTGTAGAAAACCAGAATGAACACTGTCTCCACCCCAGCATCTGCCCTTTGAAATATGTTGATATGATCATATTTTTTTCAGTCCACTACCAGATACACCAAACATAAACAAGCAAGATAGAGCAAAGACCATCCACAGAAACATCATAGATTTGAACATGAGATGAAAAGGAAATAAGTCATATGGTACAGGTAGTCCTTGCTTAACGACTGTTCATTTAGCAACCATTTGAAGTTACAACAGCACTAAAAAAGGTGACTTATGACCAATGCCCGAAGTTACGACCATCACAGCGCCTCTGCAGTCATGTGATCATGATCTGGGCACTTGGCAACCAGCTCACAATTATGACAGTTGCAGCATCCTGGGATCACACAATCACCATTTGCAACCTTCCCAGCCAGTTTCCGGCAAGCAAAATCAGTGGGGAACTGCATGATTCACTTAACAACCATGTGATTCACTTAACGGCCACTGCAAAAAAGGTTGTGAAATCAGGTCTGGTCACGTGATGATTTGCTTAATGACCGCATCACTTAGGGACCCAATTGTGGTCATTAAGTGAGGACTGCCTGTACTAGCAATACTAACGTTCTATGGCTCTAATAGTTGAAATTCAACCACCACCATCCCTGAAAAAAATCCCTAAAAAGAGGAATTGAGTGCTCAAACAGTGTGATAAGTTAACAATGTGGGTGTAAATGTATATGCTTTCTAATAGTCCAAAATACTGAAATAATTATTAGAATAAGATAATAAGAGGGATGGAGTCGATATTTCATTCATACATAGCAAAAGCTAAGTAGACCAGATATGGGGACATCAATCATGTGAGGTAATAGTTGTTTGTGTGTGTTCACAGCAGTTATACGGAACTTTGCTACATTATGGGTAATAAAACTTTTCTTATTTGATAAGAGGGAACTAACATGATGTTCCTCAAAGTAATTTGGCACATGAGTTCCAGATAGTCCACATATCTTAAAGCTGCTAAGGTTGGGAAACACTGCTCTAAACAAGCCCAGGAAGGAAAGAACTACAAGTAGACCAAATATATATATAATGTGCTATATGGGTAGAACTATCTGAACAGAGAAACGCTGAATTATATTAGCCCATTTAGTTGGAATCCAGATGAGTCCCTCCAGACACCAGTTCTGCTGAAAACAGGATTTTTTAAATCATAGCTGAAATATGCCCCACGTCTCACTTTTCTGCTGCTGCTTTCTCCTAGAATACGGAAGTCCACCTATCTGCGTTTGCAGCTCCTGGCCAAGGAGGAGTACAAGCTGAGCCACCTGATGGAAGAATCCTTGTTGGAGGACAAAATCGCCCCCATCTTGTACAAACTGCACCTCGAAGCGATGGATCGGAGGCTCCGGATGGTCCTCAAGGCCGTCAGGGACTGCATAGAAAAAGAGGGCTACAACAACGTGGTTGATAATGACTTTGTCTCCCACATGAACACCGTCACGACCGAGAGGTAGTGAAATGGCAGGACTTCTTTCCTTTCGTAACTCTGCTGAAGAAGACTGACACGCTGACCGACCACCACCCAACAGTCTTGCAAGAGACTGTGTAGGCCCTGTTGTGAATTCAGTGAATTCAGAAATCGCTATTCTAATTGTTCTTCAAGTAGCTAAGGTGTAGAGTCTGCAACTGATTAGACTGAGGACAAGAAGCTTGGTGTCCTCTGCAGCCAACAGCCCTTGGGGCATCCATGTGTTCTCAGCGGACATGGTTACGCACCTGCCATGGTTTTCATCCAGCCTCGCTTGCCTTAGGTTCTAAATTATTATTCTCCATTGCCGACGAGGGCCTTGGAGTCCACACTGTGGGCGGAGCTTCTGGCAAGCCCCACCTCCCCAGTGCTTTCATCGATCCTGCGGCCAGTGAGTTCACAGCACCACTTTCCCCTTCCTATTGGTTTACGTTCAGCCCACGTGGCCCACGGTTGGAAGTCGCCATCAGCATTGAGAAGAGCTTTCAGGAAATGCCGAAGGTTAATCAAGAGATCCTGCGGCTGACGGTATCTGGAGGAAAAGGAATAAACTTGTCCTTACCACACTTTCCAAACAAATCCCCTCACGTCAAATTAGGAAGAAAATGGAAGATTGCTAACGGAAGCCGCTCGCTCGCTTGCTGGCGAAACCCTCCCATTCCTTCCCTTCTTTTCATTTGTACAGAAAGCCGATCTTTATTTAATATTTTGTATTTATATAGAAGACGGTCGTGTTTTTTAAAAAATGAAAAAGGGTACCTTTCGAGGGCGGGGGAAGGGAGTGGCTGATGTCCACCACCAACAAAATGTTCTCCAGGGAAGCCCAAAGAAAAATGGTCTTTGCTGTAGTTGCTGCTGAAGCTATCCCAGATCCGAATCTGGGTTTGCGGGTGGTAGGAGCAGTGAACGAGGTGAATGAATTACGAGTCTGAAACAATGCACCCATAAAGGGTTGGCACATTAAGGGGAAAAGCTGAGCTATAAATATTCTTCCTAACAAAGGGTTTTTTCCACCAGTCAAGAAAGGGTCCGAGATAGAGAAGGTCATGCTTTTGACATCTCCTCAACGTGCGTCATGAAACCTTAGTTTCTCACGTTCCCTTTCAAGGCGGTATCCTCATCTTGCTCCCTTTCGGTTGCTCCCCCATGGCTGCCAAAGTTATCCCATGTGCTCCCCAACATTTCCAAGACCGCTCCAGCTGTGGCCTAGCCAAAACCCCACCCCAGAAATCACCATCCGCAGAACTTGGTCAAAAGAGGAACGGGACAATACAATACATGCATTGACAAGAATACTTGAATGCGGTTTTACAGAGTGATGTTTAAAAAAAACCCCAACCCCAGAGAAATTGTACTATTTATCCATCAGAAAGTAGCAGCTCTTCCCTTTCTGGACTGTTCAAGCTGAGCTGCTGCTTTTGGTAGTTTTCTTTTATGTAAATATATACATATCCAAGTTTAAAAAAACACAGATTAAAGAAAAAAAAACAAGCTGCTTTCAGCAGCAGTAGACTTATTTTTGCGGCTTCTTTCTTTCTTTCTTTCTTTCTTTCTTTCTTTCTTTCTTTCTTTCTTTCTTTCTTTCTTTCTT